GACTCTAAAAAATGCTGGGTTGTTTTAACCCAATTTGGGTCAAATACGGACAAACCCAAACGTTGGGTTAAAAATGTAATTAAAAAATTTAACCCAATGACTGGGTTTGTCCGTATTTGACCCAAAGTTGGGGTGAAACAACCCAGGATTTTTTTTAGAGTGTTAAATAGCCTGGGTCGTTTTTTGTTTGATTAATTTTTAATGAGTTTTGAGGATGAGACACTCATACAATTGAACAGCACTTTGACGTCAGCTTTAAAATGTGTTTTCTTCTCTCTTTTTGCTATCCTAACTATTCAAGATTATATACTGTAGTTAGTAGTACTTGCTTATTTGCATTTATCATTGTTTGTTCCCTGCTGCAACCCATTTTAAGTCACATCCCACTTAGCGGTGCTCATAATTAACTGGTTAACCATTAACCAACAGTACGAATTTTGACCGATTAATACTCAGTTAATCGCTTTACAAGCAATTTTTCAAGAAATTTTAAAATGCTTGCTGTATGGTTAAAAAATTATATGATACACGTTTGTTTTTCCTCTTGAAAATGCAATTTTAGTGTCATTTCATAAGTTAAAAATAATGTAAAATACCAGTAAATAAAGCGAAATGTTCACAATCAAACACTATAAACACAGCTAGGCTATTTTAGTTCCCCTCACAAATCCTTCCAATTTAACGGTATTCAGAACAGAACAAGAAAGAAAAACACAAGTACCGGTATATAAATACCAAACCAAAAAAATTTTTTATTTAAAGTGAAACAGAAACCGCCGTTGGTCTCACGTAACCTACCCCTCTTATTCGACACAAATCCAAATGTTTCCATATGTGCTACATTACATATTTGGATGCTAAACCATTATATGTAAACTAGGATTTGTTCTTCTCGAGTTCCAATATCGACATAAAATTGGAACTCCATCATTTATGGTCATACAGATAAGAGCAAGACATCATTCGAAACTATAAAGTGTTTACTTTTATTTGTGAACACTCACAATAAATACAAAATATAAAATAAAAGCACAATGCCGTCTGCCATCTTGGTTTCCTTTCCATGAACTTGTTTGTGGAGTGCGTCACAAAAATGAACCGATACCCAGCATACTACTTGTCGCATAGTTTTTTTCTTTCGTTTGACTATAGATTGACTTTGAGTAATGCAGTGGTTCTCAAATATAGTGGGATTAGGGATGTTCATTAAGTTTCCCAGATTTAGATTCCCACATCGTCACATGAGCTTGCAGGGCTTCTGTGAACGGAGAAAAACAGAATAACATTTGATATATAAAAGTCCTATATACAAAATATATTTTACTGAAATAATTAACTAACAGTTAGTTAATTAATTAATTATTTCAGTAAAATATATTTTGCATATAGGACTTTTATATATCAAATGTTATTCTGTTTTTCTCCGTTCACAGAAGCCCTGCAAGCTCATGTGATGATGTGGGAATCTAAATCTGGGAAACTTAATGAACATCCCTAATCCCACTATATTCGCGAACCACTGCATTACTCAAAGTCAATCTATTTTACAAATAAACAAACTGAAATTTAAAGATCAAGTGGGATTTCTACACCACTTGGGGCACCAAATGAAAATGTAGTCTGTTTGTGTAAAAATATCACCTTGTCAACTCTGAAAAGACCAACACAAAACACACCAATGAAATCTTACTACAGTAGTTCTCCCAGCTCTCATGTCAATAAAGGTTAGAGGAAAGATGTCTACTAAAAGAGCACTGCGTGTGCGGTATTCCCAAGATTTCCAACACGACACCCTCAGGTGCTGTTCCTTTTCTCTCTGTCATCATCTCTCCTTTCACAGATTCATATTTCAAACTTCAAGCAGCTCAAAGAATGGAAACTTGACTCCCAAAAAATGCCCTTAAGTCACGTCTCGGTCCAATTATGAAATGAGCTAAATGCAAACGTACCGTGAGAGCTTAAAAGAAGACATAAGACTATTAATCCTGGTGAGACTCATTTGAACTAAAAAGAAGTTCACGGCAAATCTTGCTTGCTTTAAAAAGAAAAAAGTGATTTTATACTTGTCAAAAGGGTTGTATTTTAAGCATTAAATGCACTGAAGAGACATCGTCTTTAAACGTAAAGACAAAACTGCTCTAAACTAGAAGGTATCAATGCAAATTCAGCCCACACAGCACTTCACTTAACAACTCACGAGGTCTAATCGGCTTTCTAGAACTCTGCGCTGTAGGTTTTTTTGGTGCTGCTGACATATAAACCATAAAATCTGACATGCATCAACTCTGAACAGGTGCCCTTACAGCCGCAGGGGAACGTCTGGGGTTTTTAAACTGACGTGATCACAGTCTGAGTCTGGGAGGTATAACGTTCCTGATGCATTTCAGAAAAGCTTTGTTACTCCACTTAAATGGAAGAAAAAAATGCAAGAAATGTACAATAAGTACAGTACAGAGACCAATGGAAGCTTATTTCCATCACAGAATGAAAATATAAAAAAGGTAATTGCAGCTTTTTATCCGACAATTCGGACTTTCTTTCTTGCAGTTGGAAGTTTACATCTCGCAGTCCTGACTGTTTTTTTCTCTCGCAATTCTGAGTTTACATCTTGCAATTCTACTTTTCCCACAAATTTTGCAAGATGTAAACTTAGAATTCTGAGGGGGAAAAAGTCAGAAATGCGACTCGGGCCCGGAGTCGTTACATGTGAACTTTGAACATTCAACTTGTAAAACTCAAAATGTTAATGCAAGGAATTTGCATAATTGCTTTGAATCGTTCCGTTCCTGGTAACTGAATATCAGATAGCACTAAATTTGTGCTAAGTATGAGTTAATGGCAGCAGTGCACCTAATGCTTGACTACAAATAGCAAATCTGCTGATAAATGGACTACCAGCTCAAACATGGATATTTAATTACCCACATTTGAGTTAATCGCTGCATGAATAAGGCCAAGAATAACTGGACTAACACTTTCATTGCATGGAAAAATGCAATAAAGTAAGTCGTAGAAAGTTGGGAGTAAAATGAATGGATGATGACAGAATTTTCTTTTTTGACTAACTTTCGATTGGGATCATTTTTTTTGTCTTATATTTATATTTTGTCACAACTCGGAATAACATCACTTGTTTTTTTAAACTGCGTGAAATTGAACATAATGATCCTCAGCATTTCCTCTGGCTATTATTTCCAGCTTAGAAGTTGAGTAAGCTTCATCAAGGCCCTGATTGTTTTCCACTTCACATCCTGAGTGTAAGACGAGATGATGCTTACCTGTTCTTTCTCTAGCAGAAGCTGCACACTCGCCTGACTGTGTGACTGTGATGCATGCTAGACTGCAGCGCTGCCTGTTCACACAGTTCAGGCTACATTAAACCATCTGCTATTGTTCTTGCAGATTCTCTAACCTTGAGGCAACGTGAACTGAGAAGACTATTGAACCCAGTTCAGGAGATCATGAGATCCAATAGCTTGTGATCCACAGATAGGTTGCCCTTGAAATAATGCAACGGCCAATCTCTTACTGTAGGAACTGAAAACTGACACTCAATTTGACTAAATGAGCAATTACAATAAAATAAGTGTTTCAGTATTGTTTACGCAACTAAGTGTGACTAAAATTAGGCTGTAAGATTCAATAACCAGGCTCAGATAGAATCTGCTTTTTTAAATATTTTTCTATGCTAATTATTTGAAAAACGCTCGACTCAAAAATAGTAAAATATGTTTTTCGAAGCTGAGAGTACTGCATTCATATTGCTATATTTGAATGTATCAAATCAGCTGAAATCTTTCATAAACAATCTAGGGGCAGGGAATCGAATTATTAAATAGAATTTAATCATGTATAAGCGTTTCCGTTCTGCTCAGATTTAATGTGGGCCTGATACAGTAACAGCCAACATTCATCATGGCTTTAGTATGTCACAAGTCTGTAGGTGTTAAAAGGAAACTAACTAACACACCAGTGAAACATTTTTTAAACATATTTCACTAATCATCTTAATGCAGTTCACAAACCGATCATATTCTCATTCACCACTTGAATTGTTTATATAATGTAGAGTTAAACCACAAGACTCAGAACAAAGCAAATGATTGAAACCGTTTAAGTTGTGCTATGTTCTTAATCAAGAAAGAGAAAATGGGACATGGGACATGCTCAAGGCTAGAATGACTGGTTATATACATCCGCAGACTTATACTTTTATACTATTTGGATTCATTTTAGTTTTTCCTAATGATATAAAACCAAAACTGAATCCTTGAGACTGCTGTGGGAAAACAGACACACTCTATTCAGCACCTGCTTTGTTCTGCCATTACAAATCATATGAAACAACATTTGTCCCTGATACCGGATGATAATTACTGATTGACTGATTTACCAATTTATAGAAGTCCTGCTCTCCCTTCCATAAGCTGTAAACTTTACCAGTGGCCTAGTCTTTGGATAACAATAGAAACATTTCTTATACCACTAATATTTAAAAAAAATATCATATTATTCTGGCAATCCTGTTCTGTAGGTATCGGTAATGGCAGCAGCCACTGAAAAACTCCTACTGTTCGAGCACAAATGCAATGGCATGCTGTGAAGACATCTACTGTACGGCATCTCAAACTTCAGTACTGCTGAACATGAGGCCTGTCCAGGAATTTCACAGCAGCGCAGAAGTTTCCCCACCGCGAGCACGCCCAGAACGGGCCCTGCACTCACTTCTCCTGCTCTCACATGAACACAAATGCAGAAGACGTAAACAGATTTAAATCATCCTCTCTGTGTGCATGCATTTGACCACTCGGGCCATAAAACTCTTCCTGGCAGAAAAGAGACCCTCCTGCCCTGATCAAATCTCACCAAAAACACATGGAGCCAAATTGTGAAGGGGTGGGGGGGATCAAACTGACAGCTTTCACCTATAATGAGGAGAAACATGGCTCAAACATGTCCCATGAATAAAAGTGCATGACCATGAAATGATTTGACTGTACCTGTTTTCTCCTTTTGTATTGGAGGGCGGTGGGTGCAGAATAGTCTGGTTTTCCTCCATCTCAACCACACATTTTGTGTTGAGCTCAATCTCTGCAAGCCAAAAGTTGTTAAAACTTGCCTTAAAGTGCTTATACGTGGGATATTCGTGTTAAATACTACAAAAAGCGAGTGAAATGTCTAGAACATATTTAAATACAGAATTCATAACAACCTAACCTGAACTGTATAGCAACTTATTCCATCTGAAAACTGATTTAATCTTTAAATATTAACGCTCAGTTCCACTTTAAAATGTCTCTTACCTCTCCGGTTCATTGGTCGAACTCGAACCGCCACTTTTACCTTCGTATCAGACATTTTTGCACAATTTTAAAGGCTTTAAAGCGGAGGAGAAAGCCGCTAGCTGCTGTGTACAGCTAGCCGAATAATAACACGCAACTCCCCGCAAAGTCTCCCACAGAAACGTCTGAGGTGCTTGTATCCTGGTGAAATACTCCAACAGTGCATACCCGAGCAGAAAAAGCAGTCGAGATTAATCCAGATGAGACGGTGTGGTTGTGTTGTATTCGGGTTAAATGTGTGTGGTTATAAGGATCCTCCGCCGCGGGCAGAGCAGCTCCTCTCAGCCAGCCAGCAGCATCCAGACCGCCATCTTCCGCTGACTGACCCCAAAAACACACACAAATGTGCAGTGTGCATGAATATGCATGAAAGAAACGGCATGGACTTAGTTAAAAAAGAACAGATGAACCACAACGACCTGATGCAGTTCCTACAAAGCGACAAAAAAAATCTAGAAGAGGAGGAGAAAGAGACTTGTGTCTCTATCAACAATTTTGGTAACGCTTTATTTGGTTACACTTTATTTTATTGTGTCCCGTTACAGTGCAATTATGCATTTAAGTAACGTTACTGAGTAATATTAATTAACTACATGTACTTACATAGGATTAGGGTTTGGTTTAGTTGCATGTAATTATGCATAATTTACTGTTGTTGTTATGCTACTATGGTAAGTACATGTAACATATGTAACACTGTAAAATAAAGTGTTACTCATTATTTTAATGTGCCCTTGTTACACGCTACATGTATTTACTATAGTAGGCCTAACTATAAATTAAGCATAATTACATGCAACTAACCCTAAACTGAACTCTATAGTAATAGTAAATACATGTAATAAATTATTTTAATTTCTCGGTATGTATTACACTGTAACTAACAGGGACACATTAAAATAAAGTGTAACCATAAACTTATGCTTATTACTCATCATACTAGTCGTTTCTTCTGTAATTTAGGCTAATCCTTTTATTTGTTTATCTTGAATTTTCTTTTAAAAAAAAAGTAATGTTCATGCAGAAACATCTGCATTCTATTCAAAAATATTATTTAATGACTGAATGACCAGATTACAGAAATTATAGTAATTAAGGGTCAGATCAAAGGTATTACTTTTTACACTGTACTATGATCCTTGTATAAAATATCTAGCAAATTAATTTTTTTGTGAGAATATTTGAACTTTTGTTAGTTTTTATACTTCATTTTGCACTTCACATTTTATGCAGCTAAAACGCAAACACTTAGCGATACTAATGCACAGTTTATGTCATGACAGTAAAGCACATTAATCTGATTTTCTCTAGTGAAAGTGCGGGTCGTTTTCAGTGAGATGTGAGTTTCGGTAAGAAGTGCTTTATAACGGCGAACAACCCCAGTCTGGTAGGATCAAGGGAAATGGAGCAGAGTAGATTATGGGATTCCCCTGTGGTTTCAATCTCTGTGGATTTAAAATTAAGAATTTACTAAATTTAATGCATGCCATTTTAAATAGGTTTGCACTTAGTGTAATAGCTACGCAGGGCGTATACTCACTTAAAATTATTCAATGTTGCACTGTAACCAACTGTGAAAACTCATAATTTGTGCCAATGACTGCCAAGTGGTTCCCAACCTTTCCCCCCATTTTAGGTTTCAGGACCACCATGAAAAAAATAATAATTTGTGCGTTATGAGGGAAAAATCAAAGCATAGGCTGTATCCATTTCAGCTACGTCAGTTGACAATTTGGTTATTATTAATGCATCGAATGATTAATGCCAACTCATATACTGTATAATGGGAACCAGTGCCTGAATTTCTTCAGCAAAGAATATCAGGTGTGATTGACATACAAATGATTTAATTTATAAGGTGATTATGCATTTGATGATTTCAAATGCACAATCTAGTTGTGTATGCATTTGATGATTTAGCATACACTTAAATATCCAAAACGACTTACAGTATATTAATAAGAGGAAATCAAGGACAATCCCACTGGAGCAAGCTTGAATTAAGTGCAATCAATACATATACAATATGCACAAGCATTGCATTTTGTACACTCTAGCTAGCACATACTCATGCATGTATATTTTGTGTAATATTGATGACATTACAAGTCAAATTCCCTGCAAGTACAACTTACTTGACCAATAAACAGGAACTCTGTCTGGCTTGAAATTTTCCATTTATTAACTTTGAGCTTTTGCCACCATGCCACAAATCACCATTTACGCATCAACTCACAAATCCCATTATCACAACTTAATCCACCTAAACAACATACATGGATTCTAATGTGAAACACACTAGTTGTGTATATTTACACCTCTCATTTCTCACAGTACAAGTCATCTTTGTCCGCAGCGTAGAACTTGACTGCATGATCTCCTCCGTCCAGAACCACAAGCACATTCATTGTAGTCGTAGCCAATGCCACTGGACGCAGCAGTCCGCTCACTAGTGGAGTCAGTGCAGGTGTTTTCTGCGGCTTTCCCAAACTCCAGACCATCCCATTCTGAGAATCCCCTACAATCACATCTCCATTTATATCAAAAACCACTGAAGATATAGACAATCTCAGAGAGTTCTTCAAGTTAAGAGCAAAACTGTCCACCTGCGTCAAAGGAACAAAGTCACTATTGAATATTCTCAAACATGAAGCCGTGAATCCGGCCTGAAAACGTTCCACAACTGCGATGTTTCCCGATGCTTTGCAAGAAGCTACTGAACGCGGACATGCAAGTTCTTTGAAAACCACTCTGTTAACTAGGACTACCCCACGAGGAAAGTCTATTACGATTTGGCTAAGTGTTCCCATCTCAGCGTCGGTCACAAAAACACATCCACGGGCGTCTACATCAACACCCCATGGCAGCCTAAAAGAGTCTCGGATGGTTGCAACCGGATGGCCTTTGGAAGTGAAGACTTTGACTGATTGGTCACCAGCATCTGTGACCAAAACATGTCCACATTTGGTGAGTGCAACATCAAGTGGGTGACATAAATCAGACGGGTTGTGTCCGTAACGTCCGAAGCCATCCAAACGAGTTCCTTGAGCGTCAAAAACGGCAACTCTTTTCTCACCATCGTGCACCAAAACAATCTGCCCAGATGTCTCAGAAACAACCATCCCAGAAGGGTTCACAATTGTTCCCCATCCTCCAAAAGCTGAACGGAGATGCAGCGTCCCAGATCCCAAGCTTTCGGTCCATCCTATGACTCGATCATACAACCGGGGACAAGCTTCTGACAGCAGAAGCTCCTGGAGATCGGTGAGCGCATAGCATTCAGAGGTGCTGCCCACATCCCACGGTTTCCTACAGAAAGGACACTCCAGCCTCTGGTTTTCAGGGTGGGAAAGTGCACAGATGCATTTGAGACACAGCACGTGGCCACAGGGAAGATTTCGGGGCGTGTGGTCTCGTTTCTGAATGGAGAACTTCTCAAAACACACTTTGCACTCCAGCAGGTTTGCTCGAATCTCTGCTAGGATGTCTTCCGCTCTTATATGTGGTTGGACGGCTGTCTCGGACATGCTGATGATCCTGGGCTTTATATAAACACTGGCCTTATTACTGGCAGGAAGAATAGAAGGATGAGAGAGGGTTTTACGACAGTAGCCAGCAATGGATAAACATGATCACGTGACTATATAAACATGAGCTGAGGGTCTGTACTGCCCCCGAGTGGTGAGAAGGAAAACTACCAGGATATATACTTGCTGGTACAATTGTACTTTTTAAAATTATATAACAGCAATTAAAAATTTTATTATTCCTGATTCTCATTACAAAAGTGAGAATTTAAGGGGTAAATGTTCTTAACTGACAATGCATGGTCCTAAAATAGGCTTCATTTGTGAAATATATTCCTGACAGGTTTTGCGAGGTTCAGCCTGTCTGAAACAGAGCTCAACACGTGTCTTTGCTGTCTATTTTTGGCCGTCGTGTACACTGTCTGAAACCTGAAGCCATTAGTTAATAGAGTTGGTTAAATGAGCTCACCGTCCACCAATGCAGATCACAGCTGAGGTCAAGCCGGATCATTTTCCTGCACCAAAAACAGTCATACAGTGTGTGAAGTGCATCAGTTATTTCCACCAAAGTGCATGAACTCTCTGCGAATCAGCATATTAGAATGATTTCGGAAGGATCATGTGACACTGAAGAGTAATGATGCTGAAAATTCAGCTTTGATCACAGGAATAAATTAGTTTAAAATATTACTGTTTATATATATATATATATGCAATCCAAACAACTGTATACTAAATATCATATCTGACTGGCTGTGCTCAGAGTAAACAAATTACTTATTGTATTGTTTAGGACACACTGAAATAAAGGCAGAAAAGCCAAAAACCAAAATAATTTACAATTATGAAAACACAAAGTCATGAGATACAGATGAAATTTAATCTTAAAATTCAGTTACATCCCAAGTAGTTGCATGTAAATTCTGAGCAAACAAACAAACGTCATATATATTGAGAAGCTGCAAAGTTCAGTCACGTTGTGCCATTCTTCACCAAAAACTAGTCATTTAATATTACTGAAAAGACAAACAATGATTTGTTTACAATTTATGTGAAATGTACAGATCAGAAGCATGACAAAAAGGCATTTAAATGTTTCGCAGTGACTAAACGGACACAAAACAAGTGTTTTGGCAAATGGATATGTAGAGTCATGTGATGCTCCGCCTGTCCACAGACTGTCATGAAGGACATTAATACGGAGATGAAGAAAACTATATGTTGTCTGAACACGATGAATACACAGGACATGGTGTTGGATTATGAACACTAGTAGTGGAAGAATATATATCAACCAGGTCGATAAGTCTACCAACATTTTTAGATTATCGGCATAGCTGATAAACGTGCGATTAACAGAAACGTTAGTTCTTCTGCGAGTTTCAAATGAGTCAACGCATATTATTTTGAATAGAGTAAACAGTGAAAAAATTGGGTGCAAAACATTTTAGTCTGTGTATATTACAATAACTGCATTTAAATTATATTAAATGATACCACATACATCGGCCACACCGCTCTCTAGTTATCATATCAGGAAAAAACACTATTGTACACAACACACACACACACACACACACACACACAAAGCAATAAAGGTTACAGGTGATAGTTGTTAAACATGCATGCAGGCACACGATATCAGTGTTAAAGTCAGTCTAAAAAGGCTTGAATACTGGTTTAAGGGTGTGTGGTGATCAGGATCATTTTAAACAAACACGGAATAAAAAATAAAAAGGTAATTGCGACCTTTTATCTCACAATTAAAAAAAAAAATCTCACAATTCTGAGGGAAAAAAGTCAGAATTCAACAAAAGTTAGATTTGTGAGTTTTTCATCTCAACTTTTTTCTCAAAAATGTGAGATAAACTTAAAATTTCGTAATATAAACTGAATATTTGTTCTCAGAATTGTGATGTTAAAAAAAAAACCTTCAATTGCGAGTTATAAACAGTTATAAAAACTCATAGACTAATAAACGCATAATAAAAAAATAAATTTCAGAAATTGCCACCTCAGAAAAGTCAGAATTGTGAATTTTTCATCTAGCAATTCACTTTTTTTCCTCAAAATTGTGATATAAACTTAGTTGCGAATTATAAAAACTCACAATTGAGGGAAAAATATATGTGAGATATAAACCAGCAATTGCGAGAAAGTCAGAACTGCGAATTCTTCATCTCTTTATTTCTCACAAGTGCAAGTTTATCTCACAATTCTGACTTTTTTCTTGCAATTGTCTCACACTACTTTTTTTTCTCCGAACTAAGAAAAAAAGTCAGAATTGCGAGATGAAAAATTAGAAAAAGCCATAATACCTTTTTTATTTGTATTCCATGGAAACAAGCTTCTATAGAAACTGATATAGATAATTTTCACAGACATGCAAAACCAAAAACGCCTCTCAGGTGAGAACATAAAAACGACAGCAGCAGTAGAAGAAGGTCACTGGAGAAGCAGAAACACCAAAAACAAACGTCACACAGTAAAACATCAGTGAAGCCACTTAAAGTGTTAAAACACTTGTGCGTCTATGAGATCCTGCATTCATCTCCAATCTGATTCCTTTAAAGCAGCTTAACCTAGAAACATTCAACTCATGTCAATCATAAACAGATTTAGTCAGTCTGGATAGAGTACTGGCCAGGAACAGTCAGTCTTTCCTAGATAGTCAACATTAAATGATGCTTTCAACCATTTTGCTACTGTAATCGGACACACACTACTGTTTAGAAGTTTGGGGTCTGTAAGATGTTTTAAAGAAATGAATACTTTATTCAGCAAGGATGCATTAAACTTATCAAAGTGACAGTAAAGACATTTATAATGTTATAAATATTTACATTTCAAATAAATGTGGTTCTTTTGAACTTTCTGTTCAAAGTTCAAAAATATGAAGCAGCACAACGGTTTTCAACATTGATAATAATCAGAAATGTTTCTTGAGCAGCAAATAATCCTATTAGAATGATTTCTGAATGATCATGTGACAATGAAGACTGGAGTGATGATGCTGAAAATTCAGCTTTGATCACAGGAATAAACTACATTCGACTATATACTAGAAGACACTTATTTTAAACGGTAGTAATATTTCACAATATTACTGTTTTTACTGTATTTTTGATTCAAATAAATGCAGCCTTGGTGAGCAGAAGAGACTTCTTTCAAAAACATAAAATCTTTCCATCCCCAAACTTTACATTTACATTTTAATGATGTTTTATTTATTAAACAAAAAAACATGCACCAGTGAAACATGCACAATAAGACCAGGAACGCGTTTTAAAGTATAAATTTTGATTTCGTGTTGACTTGATCTGACATCATTTGTAGACACATTATGATATGAATAACAATCTGAAATCGCTAGCATATAATACACAGTTGATAACATAAAATACAGTGACAAGTCACAACACTTCCGAGTCACGCATGCTACTGGAGAACACGGTGATTCACAGCACTGCTCGGGATCTAACGTGTTAACCAGTCTCTAGTTCAACAGGTAAAGTGAGCTCGCCATCTAAACACTGGACACACAGTATTGCCTATTCAAAGAGTTGCAAACCGCTCTGATATCTGAAATGTTCGAACTAAACCTGAGACAATCTCACCATTCATAATCACAGTCATCTGATGTTCCCTCCATTAACAGGAGTGACACCTGTGCAAACGTTCCCGTCTGAGGAAAAACGCTCAAAGCCTTCTAGAGACGGACTTATTTCTCCACCCCGTTGATGGTTCTGTATGATGGTTCCGAGTCCCTCCGTTTCCTGGTAGAAGAGTAAGTTGTGCCGTCCATCTCAAACTCCCCTACAGCACAGTTGCATTACAACGTGAGTTGAAACACTGAAGCAGTTCATGCACAGAAGCAAAGTATAATGCATGCACATTTAGACAAATCTAACGCCTACAATTTGAACTCCACTAGATATATTCAGAGTTGCATACTGATATTTTAAATTTTTTGCAATATATAGCATGCATACTATAAACTATGCATTTTATTTATTTTAGTTTTATTAATATTTTAAATATTAATAATAATTTTTAAACTTTATTCGTATGTTTTTAGTTTTCATGTTCATTTTAGTTTACTTTTTAATAACTTTGTAATGTGTTTTTATCATTTTATTATTTTTCTGTTGTTTTTTTAAATAATAAATTGCTATTTATGTTTCATTTATTTTTATTTCAGTTTTAGTTATAGTTTGTATTTATTTTCAGTTAATATATTTAGTGCCTTAACTTAATTAGGTTTATTGCTGAGGCAACATTTCAAATTTTCGCTAAGCTTAGGTTTTTAACTATATAGACTAATATTTATATTTTATTTCAGCCTTATTTCATGTTTTTAATAGTTTTATAGTCAACAATGATAACCCTGCCTGGATGATCTAATACATTTGCCAAAACTCACAATAAAAATATGCTTGACCTTTCATTTCCAATGTGACGAATGCACTTATCATATATTAAAAAATTAAATACAGTACTCTAGTATTAAAGTCGTTGCCAAGTCTCAGAACGTATTACCCACACGTCTTCTGCTCGTCCTCCACAAGAGGTCACAACACTCCAGGTTAGACTCGCTGAAGTCTGTAAACTGACATTAACATCCTGGTAATCTACATGCTGGTGTGTATGATTGGTTTAGTGTTTACCTTTGCATTCAGACACGGAGTCACCCGGCTCCGAGTAAAAACTGTCATCACACTCCGAGAAGCTCTATGGAGGTCAAAACATCATGATTTAGATTGCAAAACTCTTAAGATTCACTTTAGCACTGCTTGTATAGCCTGCTGTTAAGTCAGTTTTTAAATTCACATTTAAAGGCAACAGGGTTTGAGGTCACAATTGATAATGGCAGAACAAACGGGGAAGAAACAATAGAATGAAAACTCTTTCATGTCATTCCAAGACTGTATTCAATGCAACTTAAAGTGGATGATGATTTTTAGTGCTGAATCACAAAAAACACAGCCTTAGGGGCCGTTCACATAGAATGCGTTTATCCATTCCAGTGAGCTACTTTTACATTTGTGACCCGTCACGGAAACCAGGGACACAAGTCGGCAGCACAACTTGCGAGCAAAATGAGAAAGAAGCGTTTTTTTCCAAAATTGGTGATTTCCGCTTTTTTGCAGAATCTGTTAGTTGAGATCATGAAGAAGCCTCTACATGTTTGAGATAACAGTATTGGTATATTTAAAAGCGTACATTTTGAGGTTGAAATCGGCTTGTTTTTCGGAGATTCTAGCATGCAGTAGGGGCGTGTCATTGTCTGTGTGTATTTCCATACTGAATAGCCGCCGGCGCTTTTGCCCCCGCCCCCCAACAGCGTGGCTACTTAATATGCAGCGCTCTGGCCGGCTCTATCTGATATCAAAATTCAATGAAGATGGACGCCGCAAAGATTGTCGCAGACGAGCTGAAGCGTGGCAGTTACACCGAAAATGTTTTCGCCGCACTTTGTGGGCTCGGGAAACTGAACCGGAGGTATGGGCGCGGCGCGCGCGCCCTCGGTGCTTGAATACGGCGGCTCGGCTCGCTGACAGCGGTGACTAACTGTTTCATATGTGATGTCCCGATTGCTTTGAATGGGGAACGTTTTGTGAACAGGGAACAGACTTAATGGACTGGCAACAATCTCCATAGAACATGAACTGGCACAGAGAATCGAAATAGAGGATGCAGTTAAGACCTTTGCTGCGATGAAGGCCTGCCGTGCGCGTTTCTGAAACGTAAGTTAAGCTTCATTTGCTCTCTAGTCGTTATTTAAGATGCTGAACCTGCTGATGATATAATGTGCTTGCGGACATTTCATTTGTGTGTGTATACGCACATAAGAAAGTGGTGTAAAGAGATTTGCAACAGTAATCTGAGGAGGAAATATGATTATTTGGAAAATTCCTGTCATGACTGCTTAAAGAAAAATGCCAGCAGGCATTTACCTCCTGCATAAACTTTAATATTGTTGACATTTTGGGCACACGCGCGTTGCGCACTATTTGCGTTATATGTAGGCCTATGGCTTATTGGTCTTTGTGTGTTGTTGCTGGTTTTGCGTTATATGTATATGGCATATTGGTCTTTGTGTGTTGTTGCTGGTAAACGTTGCAAATAGAGGGGCAGCACAATTGTTTTTCGCCTAGAGCGGCAGAAGTGCATTCGCCGGTCCTGGGGGTGAGTTTGCATTAAGCATTAAAGTTTGTCGTTTTGTTTTAATTCTAAGAACACGTACATGTTATCTCATGTTTAGTCTGTTTAGACCTTCCCATACCTACCTATTGTTATTAGCTAGCTCAGGAAAGAAAAAAAAGCTGTAAAGCACAGGGGGAGCTTTACAGGGGGTATGGCTTATCTAAATGAGATGTAAATGAGCCCTATTGTCACTCCCAGCAGGAGAGAGAGGTGAGAATGCACAATCTTTTGAGGCCGTTTTCTCCCATTTTACCTTTTTTGAGTTCCTACCTTCAAATGGCCACAACTTCTCCAAATATTATCAGATTTCCACGTGTTACACATCGTTGGAAAGCTTGGAGACTACACTTTCAGAATCTATGAATAACTCAAAATGCCGAAGAACCGACTTGTGTCCCTAGTTTCCGTGATCGGTCACATTTTTTTCTATGTAAACACGCGTTAGACGGACGTGTATGACCGTTATGGCTGATTTACTTCTGCGTCGGACCTAAGCTATAGGCTACGCGCCGGGTTTCATTTATTATACTTATGCTTGTTGCAGTACTGGGTTGTGGTGCTCGCTTTTGGGTTAAGCTTTCCGCGACTGCGCAACTGGGTTATAGGTTGCCAGGTTGAGATGACAAACGGCTTGAAATTGTATATGTGTAACCCCTTCACCCGGGTCCTTCTCACCCCGCTCTGAGCGGGTCTCCGGTGTGAGAGTCAGGCACTCTAACAAGGAGGCTAAAGACTGCAGCCTCTAGCGTCTGTCGCTAAAGCGCCTATTGAGATCAGAGGAGTGAGGTTTACTCGCACAGCGTCTACTAGCTGGCCTCCGTTACATATGGTGTGTGGATTGTGTGAATATGTTGCATTTAATGCAAGATCTGCCAATTGGTCAACATTAGACAAACATATTGGTCCGGTTATTCATAAAGGAGTTTGGGCCATGCAAATTACGTGAGTTTCCCAGAAGAAATAACAAACCGGAAGGGGTCCAGGAGATAGGGCTAAAAACAACGTTAGAAACCCGGAAAAAACGGGAGTGTTGACAGGTATGCTCTACACATCTTCTCTCTGAGCTTGTTAGGTACTTTTCCATCCTCACAGACCCTTTTGACCTAATTTTACCTGATTTCTGACTGAGACACAGCAATACAGACTTTATGTGAGGCAAAGGAAAATCTCCAACACCGCTAGTAGGCAGTGTCCACGGGCATGTTGATGGTGTAACCCACAACATTAAAGGCAAAAGCCGAAGAAGAAGCGGCTTGTTGTGTACGTTATCGAAGAAGCAGGGGAGTAGTGATGGCGGAAAATAGACTTTTGTTGCAGCTTGAGTTGTTCACTTCAGTGAAAACAACGATGTTCTTTGATATTTATGTCGCAAGAGGAAATGCGACGCTTTCGCAGATTTCTTTTTTTTACCCGAGGGAGGGGTTCTAGCAGACCAATCACAGCGCTTGTGGTCCGCGTAGAATTGACGCGTTAAGTTTTTGGAGAGGTGCACGTCAGGTTAAGTGTGCTACACAGCCTACGATGTAGCTACGACGCAGAAGTATAAATCCGCCTTTGCGCTCGCGTCTTGCTTTTGCAGTGTCTCGCACATGAGCACCGCGTTTTTAAGATGGCGAGTCAAGTCAAACTATTTTCAACTTTTACACGCAGCGCCACTCATCAATGTCAGTTCCAAAACAGTGGACCAATCAGAAGACCCCGGAGGCGGGGTCCAAAAAATGGTCCAACGAACCGTTCGGTTCAAAAATGCGTACCGAAAGCCTCGTACCGAACGGTTCAATAAGAATACGTCTATCGTTACACCCCTAAATATGACTGAAGTCAGATGTATTTAATATTGCATGCGTGGCGCGCGAATCACCGTACTCTGCGCGCGTTCACCAGCGTGCTCCAAGTGTGAGTCGTTCCTATCGCGAAGCTGATGATAAAAGATCTAAAACACCAACATAAACTAAAAAAGACTGATGAAAAGAGGGGAAAACATCATCTATCGCCAACATAAATTAGAAGCTTTTTAAACTACTCATGACCACCTTTACTAGGATTTATCACTTGTTGTCAAAAATATCGATATTTCGATACTGAAATATCTGCAACTATTCCAATAGAAACAAGGAAAAATAAGGAAAAATATCTGCCAATGGGGTCAGAAAATACTAATAATTATAGACTCCTCCTCTCCCCTATTATCCTTTGCGAAGCTTGACAGCCCTTGCTCACAATATGCTTTGGTTCTGTGTCCTTTTGTTTTTTCAGGAACAAGAGTGAGCTGAGTAAATGATGACAAAGCCATGACTCACCTTCTCTCTGGGCCCGTAGTTTTCAGCATACCAGACCATCCCATATAGACACAGGAATGTGATGGAAGCCTTCAGATGAGAGAGAGAAACAAAGACTCGATCAATTACACATCAGCAGCTTTTGTGTTCACACAAAAACACTTTCTGAAAAGACTATTTTCAGGAAATCTCCTCCCACAGATGCCGAAAATAGCTTTCCGTTCAAGTTTTTGCTGAATGAGTAGAAATCAGAGTCATATTGATGCAATGAAAAGCTCAAAGTGAAGACAAAAAGTGAAGGAACTCACCAAACACAAGAGCCACAAAAACACATAGAGAATTTGCGTCTTGGAAAACAAGTCTTGTCCGAATTTAATGCAGGCTAACGCCTCCAGGAAAGCTATTGCCCTGTTGGAAAGAAGACAAGAGCGTTTCTACTGGACCTTGATTGCGCAACGTAAAGCTGACGGATGTCTAGATGATCTAACCTAGATGTTTGTGACAAAATAACTTGAACTGCACACAATCTAGGTCACTGTCTTATATCTGAGATAACGCAAATAACAATAGAGCAGCAAAGCCCACCAAAGCGCTGCAGTGGAACACAAGCATTCATGCGGGTTTGTGGTTAAACGTTCATTTGAATGAAAAGCCTGCAAGGCTTTCACCTCAAACACTGGTGACACCCATGCATGAACATCAGTGCACACTGAAGAGTGCGTGTTACTGATGACTTGCTCCGTTACTTGTGCATTACAGTGGACCACATGGGAGGCGGCTTCACACAAGTCATTTTAACAGGTTTAAACTCACCCAAACACCCAGCATTGTGTCCCGACCCGTTTGCACTGTGTGTCCGTGAGGTATGCATAATACTGCCTGTAGAGCAAACCAGAGAAATGCATCAGAACACATGAATAATCAAAGTCAAAATGATCCTTTAATACATGTTCTGGGTCTTGTTGCCGATTCTCTTCTTATTGTTTTAGAAGAGTGATTCCCAAACTTCTTTGTCAGCAAAAGATATTTACTTGAAGTCTTCCTGAGATTTTATGTTAATATTTCACATAAGTTAACAACACATTTGCATGATCATAGTTCTCTGAAATCAGTTAATGGTCACATGACATGCAGGTAAACAAATTAAATATTTAGTCTTTTTTTAGTGTTTTATTTTGATTGTTTACACTAAAAATAGTCAAAGATGAGAATCTTGGGCAGTTATGTGTAAGAATTTTTACCAATATTTACCCCCAAAAAAGTATATATTTCTCCCAACTGGATATGAATATAAAAAGGTAAGATCAGATTTTTTAATCAGGCTATTTATTTTTAATTACATTCTCACACACTTTGTGTATGGCACATAGAAGGCCTTGGGACTGAGAAAACATACTGGAGGTGCAGGTTTACCTCAGGAAAAACACTTTGCTCAAAGTAGTAAACTACTAAAAACAAACAACGTGCATAATCAAATAATCAAAACTCTCATCATGAGCACAAAACAAAGTTAACTTAGTTTTTTTGTCTTCCTTTGCCATCTCTAAATAATTTTTCAAATTATTACATTGTTTATTATAAAATTATCTTAATATGCTTACTAATAATGCTAAATGAGTCATCTGTATAACTGTATTCTCGTTTTAGCAAAAGTATCTATTTTGCTGCTCACCGTGTTTCTGCTACTGTTGTTAAAATAACAGCGTCATCCACAGCTCTTAATGTGGCGCTTTACGTCTTCATCGAGAGAGAGAATAACGCGCACTGACCGGAAAGGGTTTAAATAAAGCATGTCTGGCTCTAGATAAAAAAATATTAGTGGATGTAGCGTTGAAAGATCATTACTATAAAGTGTGAACCACTTTGTAGTTTTGACGCGCTGCTCACTTTAAGTTATTTACATTTTTTTGATTTTATTAATTATTCGCTTTTCATTAGCTTACAAAGCCCAGTTTGGGAAACTATGGATTAGAAAAATGTAACAACTTTTCTTTTTGGCTGATGTCACAAATCAATAAGTTAATCAATTCCCAATGGATAAAACTTCCAGTTCCACTTCCACCCTTCATTTGTTTCCTATTTTACTTTGAAATACATCAGACTTTGGAAGGAAAACGAGTTGGGAATGGGATTTTGTTATATATTGTTATATGTGTACCTACCGTACGGTGGGGGCAGTGATGATACCGATGAACAGAATTCTGCACCAGCTGAGAGCGTGGCATGCTGGGAACACAAAGATGTGCTTCAGGAAGAACGTGTTCAGCTCTGTTAGCTTGAGTGAGTGAGAGAGAGAGAGAAAATATTTTATGCATTGAACCAAAACTAAAAAAAGCTTTTTGGAAAAACTAAATCCAATGACCATTGAGAACTGGGACAAAAATTAACTGCAGAAGTAAATGAATAAAATCCTGTGTAGAAAGGAATTAGAAATGTTATGCAATAAACCAAAAGAAAAACTAGATGCAATTTTACAATTAATAAACTTCAGTACAAAATTAATTTGAATTAATCTGTTAATGCTAACCTGTTCATTTGCCTTTTGTTGCGACTCTCACATCAAACTTGTATTAGAAATATTGATAATTCTAGCAAATATTGATAAAGAAATGCATGGATGGTTTCAAACTGACTTTTAGATATACCTATTGTCAAGTATATTTTATTTGTTTTGTGATGATATAAACAACCAAGATTTTTTTTTAAATCATATTTTGCACACAGTCATTCTGTTTTTATGGAGTTGTTGTTGTTGCCGGACCTACTTAAAACAAGGCTAATGATCTATTGTAAACCATCATACAAAAAGCAAGCAGAGTGGAAATATGACTACTTTTTTTAAAAGTTACATTTGTAATAAGAATCATAGTGCAGTTAGTTCAGATTATGCTTCAGAGATTCACACAACACCAAAACCAGTTGTCAACTAATTTGGTCACAGTCTCTGAAGTGGAAATGGAGGGTCCGCTCACACACTCCCCTCCTCCGAATTCCCATTTCAAAGACATTTAATTACTATTTAAAGGGCCCTCAATAGGGAGCGAAGAGACCGGCCTCGCTCTCTCACAATAGAGAATGAAGAGCGTGCTTTCATCGCCATGGAAACGAGTCTGCACCCATTCTCTCTAGAGAACTCATATGACCCACATTTCTGAGCTAGTTAAAGCCAATCAAACAGTTTGATTAATCAGCATAAAAAATAACTAGTTTCAAACTAGTTATTTTTTATGCTGACCATAAAAGTAAAAAATATGTAACTTTTAAATACTGTTAATTAATATAATGTAGTATTTAATGAATTATTATTTATTCAATTATTAAAGGTGGTGGGGTAAGTCGTTTTTGAAATATGCTGTTTGGAAGTTAGTAGGACCGACACAACAACAAACGTGTAGCCAATCAGTATTAGGGGCGTCTGACGGTGGAGGAGAGAGAAGAGCACGAAGGAGATTTGAACTGAAGAAAGACTGCAGAAATAGAGATGGAAGAAATCACTGGAAAATAAAGGGTTATGTCTGGGCAAGAGCTTTAGGACCCGCGTTAATATTAGAAAAGCTGTCCAGCGCTGGAGAGAGCTCAGCGGCCTGAAATCAGAGGCGGAGGTTGCTTTGATTCGGGTCCACACGTGAGTAACACTGGTTTTGACACCGTGTCCTGACCAGATAAGATTCCAGCGACAAATAATTTGTCTGTCCACACTAGACACGACGCGACTGCGAGATGCGTCAAAATTAGTGCTGTCAAACAATTAAAATATGTAATCGCGATTAATCGCATTAATGTCATAGTTAACTCGCGATTAATCACACATTTTTATCTATTCTAAATGTCTCTTGACTTCTTTTTGTCCCATTATTTTTTCTCATTTTAATGCTCTTATCAACATGGAAAAGTGGATCGGCTTGCTTTGGGCAAATGTTTTTTTTATTGAAAACAACATTGGCATATACTGTGTTCAATTTCACACTAACATTCTCACTTGGAGCAAATAATCTCTCACACAATGTAACACTGTCCATCAATAAAAGGGTGAAAGAAATACTGACGAGGTCCTGATATTGACGAGGGGGCGGAGAATTCGCATCAGCTGTGTGTGTGTGTGTGTGTGTGTGTGTGCTTGGCCATCATCAAGTGGTATTTCAGACTGGACGTGCTGCGATGACGATAGCTCAGTTCACAATGACAAAACACACAGATCACTTTGGTCTTGTCAATGGAACCATTTGGCAACTTTTTAAAAGTAAACTTTCCATTCAGAGTCTTATTGGCATCCATTTCGGCGTCTTGCACTCGTCATCCACTCAAAACGTAACGTTAACCAACTATTTGGCCGGCTCGCAAGCCCAAAACAAGTGTGTGTGGCGTGCCTGTTGTTTTGTTTCCGGTCTGGCTAGATCCGCTTGCGCTTTGGTCGACGAAGCAACAAAACGTCCTCGCGCGGCGCAAGCCATTGAAATGAATGGGTTTCATTGCGCAGCGCCGCGTCCTGTTGCAAAAGCATGTGAAAAAAAACTAAAGTTTGCTAGGCCAAAAAGAACGTTAATCACGCGGAAAAAAAATTAACACCGTTAAAATGGGTTTGCATTAACGCCGTTAATAACGCGTTTAACTGACAGCCCTAGTCAAAATCAATGATAACCCACAGCCAATCAGAACAGCGTGTGCAAAACTTTTACGTTTTTTCTAAATATCGATAAAAAACTATTGCGAAATGACGCCGTTTCCATTAACCGATGTTATGCGACTAAAACGTCATTTTTTCCTCTTGCGATAAGTCATTCCAAAAATCATGGCAACGGATGTTTGGTAGGTAATATATAACAGAGCCACCGCACTAGACATTATTATTAATGGAAGGAGACATGCCGTGTTATCCAAGCATTAACGGCAAGGAAAGACCCTTATACTGTGAACGGCACATATGAGGTGTTTCTCAGTGTTTCTCCCTCATTTCTGCTCCGAGGTCTTGATTGTGGCATTTCTTTGAGGTTTAGAATCCAGTATTCCTGTAATTCTTTTTTCTTTAATGAATTTGATAAAGAACTGTCTCGTATTCTGTCCAAACACACCGCACCTTCTAAGTCATGTGACTGTAAATGCGCAAAAACTGTTTCCATTGCAGTTTTGCGAAATATTCCTTTTTCGAATTGCCTGAAAAACCACCTCAAGCAAGCGTAAAAACTTTTGCGTTAAACGGGAGTTTTTGCGAAATTGACGTGTTTCCATTGTGCGTATTTTCAATTCGCAATTTCAATTTGCGCAATTTGAAGGGTAATGGAAACATGGCTAGTGCACGCGACTCGCTTGCAGGCATAGACACAGTATAAGAAGTGGACAGAGCCATCTCATTGGAACTCAGTTGAGACAGTTGAAGCCCATTTTTAGCGATTTTTGAGCACTTCCGTTCCTGACGCGCAGACTCAAACCGACTCAAACTAAGCTTGATGGCGTGAGCAAACTGTCTGACAGACATAAATCTTCTAGTAGCTGTGCCAAGAGGAATCTGAATCATTCCCTTCCGAAACTTGCAGAGCCGGAGATCGTGAGTATTAGCTGTCCATGAGCTCGCAGCAGGAGCAACTTTACAACTCTCAATGGGCTTCTCCCTCCACTTTATGCCTGCACGTCCCCCCGATTGCGCGCGAGTTTCTACTTCTGTCTGTACGGTCATTTTCTCTAGTGTGCACCAGAGAGTCGCGTGTTATGACGCAATCGTTAGCCTATTTTTACAAAAAGGGCTTCTACAGGGCCATAACGTAAGATACAAAGTAATGGAGCCTTTTATACATTGTCGTGTTTCTTTAGAAATAAATAATGGACAAATGGAGTCTTTAAACGCCTCAGATGTAAAGTTATTCGCTGTCAGTGACGCCAAAATGAATGGGAGTCAATGGAAATGCTAACGCAAGTGAAGTTCTGCTACAAGATGGCGGCACCCGGCCGGCTTCAACTTCCGGTCGATGGATTACCCCCTTGCTTGCAGGGGTATTGGGGTTCGAGACTGACTCGGAGCAGGGCTGTTAGGATTGGTGTGTGAGTTTTGGAGGCGGAGAAATGAAGAAGGGGTGTGTTTGTTTAGGTTGATTTCAAACAAGGTGTGCATTAAAACTGTAATAAAATACTTTTACTAACCTGCCATATGATCATGAACAGATAGACTCCCGTCACCCTCTGCAAGGAAGACTTGGGGTCGAACCAGCGCACGTATGTCCAGCTGGCAGGCGTGAACTGTAAAACTGCACGTTTGATCTTGCCCGTAGTGCTGTGGATGTCTCTGTTCAGCAGAAAACACAGTTTCTAGCCACTGTAAATGCTGCAAAATCCAGTTTGAAATGAATCAGATCTCTTACTTGATACTGGCCCAGTGATACGTGCGCATCTCTAAGAAACGGCAGACAGTCATTCCCAGCCAGATGCCTCCTCCGTTACACAACAAAATATCCAGGATTACTTGATCCCACCAGCACTCCGCAAAATTAGGAAGAAGATGCATGAAGAACAACTGTACGGAGAGATTAAATTTGTGTATTATTGTGTGCTCTTCAAGAGACTCGACTCACCATTGATTTCAACTGTGTTTGCCATTAACATCTTTCAAACTAGCAATGTGATACTGTAATATGCATAAAAACATGTATCAAACTAAATAGTTAACTCAAGTAGTGTATTACTATATTGTGGTATTTAATTTAATTAATTATAACTGAATCAACAGGGCTCTGCACCGGTGCCACTAAGATCTACAGATGGTGGTACCAGCACCTGATTCGGAATCGCTGGGGGGATTGTTAATCATAAAGGTAATTTAATCATAAAATCACTATTGTTTTGCAATAATAAGTGCAGCAACTCATAATATTTCACATTTGACAGTAAAGCACTGAGCAGATGCAGAGTTGAGATGCAGAAAAAATAACTTATTAACAACAGTAACATGTGAAAACCAGATATTTTAAATTACATTTAAATTGGATAATATTTAGAGATTTGAAGTGCTGGAAAAAGTGTGAAGCCCTTTAAACATCTTTGAAAAGTGCTTGAATATCACTCTTAAAAGGTTGTACAAACCCTAAAATGAATAACGTAAAACCATTAGACTATTTCTGCCACAATACTATGGTTACAGTTAGCATTGCTACATTAAATCCATGGTGAATGTTGGTGATTTGTGAACTGAAAAGCCTTCTATAACTTGTTTGTTCATGGCTCAATGTTTTCTCATGGTTTCAACGTCACTGCTGTTTGATCTGATATCTGTGGTTTATAACAGAGAATTCTGCGCAGAACTTAAACGCTTCACACTAGATCTCACTGCGATGCTATTAATGGAGTGTCAAATTCAAATGCTTTCTAACTAGATCTCTCAGCGCTTTGTAGTAACAGTGTTGCGTGATTGAGATTGGCCTGTGAAAGCCTGTTCTGAGCTCGTGCTTTTCTATATTTCTCACTAAATAATTTGGAGCCAGATAATATATATATTGATATATATATTTAAAAAAAAAAAAAAAACATTTAAGATGAAGGATGACGTGAGTAATATTGATGAATTCTTACTTCGTCCTTCATCTTGGATGATTTGTTTTTCACTGTGCATTTCACAATTAATTCTGGGATTGCTAAATTAACTAGGTTTTGGACCAAACTAGGCTAAAACAAGCTAAAATGAGAGGAATTATTTGAAGCCAGACTCTGAACAATTTCAAATGCTCATTAGCTGTGAATTTTCATTGTCTTCTGCGAATCATCATAACAGCATTATAATCAGGTCAGGTGCATGATATTAGCGCTGGGCGGTGTGACCAAAAATCCATATCATGGTATTTGTCAAAATTATTCCGGATTCACGGGATATGACATTATTATTTTTTTCAAGCATGACTGGGTGTTAACCACATTTTCTACTGATTGAGAGATGAAATACTGCAGTAGATTGACTTAGAATGCCTTATTTTACTGTCATGAGTGAATATTGTAGAAAAATTCCACACTAGTATTAATACAGGTTTGCATAAAATGAGTCTGTTTAAAAGAGGTGCCAGCAGGAGGCGCTGTAGGAGCGGCAGAAACAGCGGTTTCCCCGGTAACGGTTGTACACAAACCAGTGCAGCGCTCATAAACGCTGCTTTATCAGGAAAGATAAAGAAAGATTCAATAAAAATACCCAAGACAGTCAGTTCACTTCAGATACATTCATATAAAAACACCCGCTCTGCGTTTTGACTTTGAAACGTGCAGTGCTCATGTTTAGTCAGCTTTATCAGTTAGTCAGCTTTATTGTCGATTCTTCACATGCTCCAGACATACAAGCAATCGAAATTACGTTTCCCTTCACGATGAATCATTTATTCAACGATGTCAAAACTCAAAACCAACCACAAATATATTTTCCAAAAGGCTGTGTTGATATTGTGAACCAATGTATGGGAAACACTAATATAATTTGACAGCTATCAATTATAGTTTAACGGTTCCATCTTCACCGTCACGCTTGGTTAAACATACAGCTGTGTCCTAACAATCCAACAGTGAAAAGCGAAGCCTCTCAAACAGTGTCGCGCCGCGTACCCATAAACACCGGTATTCGGTATGAACCGGTATACCGCCCAGCACTACGTTATATGTGAAGCAATGCCTCAAAACAAGATAAGGACCAGTTGCAGAGGTTTACCTCGGTGAGCTCCCAGGTGATGCTGATGCTCCAGCACAGGCCGTAGCTGCGGATGAGCAGAGCCTTCATCCCCCAACCCCAGAAATGACTGAAAGCGAAGATGTCAAAGTGGCTGAGGATTCGCTCCCATGTGATCACATGACAGTTCACCGCATACTCCTGTCAATCATCACAACACCAGAAGGACATCAGTGACATATGTTTAACACTCGCTGCAATTGTGGGCTTAACAAAGTTGAACGTAATGCATCCTTTTGAGATTTGTGACTTATTTTAGTATCATTGAGATACTATTATTGTTTTCATGGAGAGTTTGAATGTTTTTTTTATTATTATTGAAATTTTAGTTAAAGTTTAATTGATTTTGATGTGCTTTGTTTCCACTGAAAAAAAATTGGAGTAGAAACAATTCTCACTCAGAAATGTCACAGTTAATCACAAAGAAAATGCAAGTAACACTTTTAATTAAATGTGAAATTTTGATGTAGTATTAAATAGTATTTTCTTGTAAAACACAACAATAATATTTTAAACTTTTAAAATATTATATATATACACAAAATATTTGTATGGTAGTTTTAGTGAATTGTAATAATCCTGATGTATGAGCTCTGGCAGAAGAGAAAATATTTTGTCCTTTTTAGGGCTTAATCATAATGACATTATCAAATTAATATCACCCACAAATTAAAATAGTCATATTTCCCTGAACATCACTGACCATGATGTCAGCTTCCCGTTTGGCATAGCGAAGATTGGGATCCAGCCAGTACATGACAGACTTCACCTGCTCCCAGTTCAGGAAGATGATGAAAACGAGGAAGAGGAAGTATAGCACACTCAATCCTGCACAACAACATTAAACATGCACTTCAGAGAAGATGAAGGTGGAAAATAACATGAACCTACTAATCCAACCACTTACATACGACCTCAGATTTGCCCTCATCATTTATTCACGTTTAAAAATCATCTCACAGTGTATGTTTATCATTAAGCTTCATAATTGGCCATCAAGGTCACATAAACACTCTGATCCACTCACCGAACACTATACGCCATATTGCTGGATGGGGTCTTGTAAACGGACCTGAAAAGAAATTTATGAATAGAGTTATGAATATGGCTGCATGATACTGGAAAAACATGACATTGCAAAATTTTGTTATTCCGTGAAATATATTGCGAATGCGATATGAAAAAAAAAAACAGGATTTTTCACCAGATTACTTAAATAGCTATATTTGAAAAGAATGAATATAATTAATAATTATAAAAAGCGGAAAAGTACTGAAAGCAGGCAGAATGCTAGATCTAACCATAACTGACAAACATAACTGTCAGTTTTACCCTTCCGTCAAATATTGCACAACAAATATCAATAACAACTTTAAGTGCTGGCGAATAACCATGGTATAAACGTGATAATCCATGGTTCTTTGCCTCTGCGTCGTGCATTAAAGGAACACGCCGACTTTAGCTTATTCACCGTATCCCCCATCATGGTATTACCTGGTCTCCACTGTTTATTGTCGCAGCTCTTTACAATACAGCGAACACCCATGATTGTAAACTATGCTTTTTACTCTCTAGTAATTGCTGACTCTATTACTCCAACTCTGAACGAACTCTCTGCTTCTCACCAAGGGTGCGTCTCAGGTGCTGCGGTAATCACTCCGCCCAAGTAGCAGTGCTTCGCCTTCTGAGAATATAGTTCCCAATATTTATAAGGTTAAAAGATGACTGTGTCTCATATGACCTTGTTATTTGTACACTCTGTGACTATACAAATCACAACATGTAAATAGGAAAATGTTTGCGTTATTTTGTCACTTATTGGGATTAGTATGCTAGCTGGAGCCATTTACATCCAGTCTTTGTGCTAAGCTAGGCTAGCGGTGGGTGCGTCAGAGAGTTACGGCACGCACGGAAATGAAAAAGGTATGTATGGACTTATCTAACTCTGGGGGATACGGAGAATAAGCTAAAGTCCCAAAAAGTCGGCGTGTTCCTTTAAAATAGTTTGATGCACAGCTAGTCATGGATTATACCTTATGCTTTTATTGTGATTATTAAATAAAAATCTTAAAGAAACAATATTGTAATATTACTGTACTGTAAAAAAACAAAACAAATAAGAGTATTAATAATAATTTTATTCTAGTGTAAAATTACAATACTCATAATTAATCATTTGATTTGAATTTTATAAATAATCTCTTCATTTTTTAAACTGTAACCTATCAACTTTTTATTTTGACGGGTTGGCAGCGAATAAAAATATGCAGTGCCGGTTTCAGAGTTAAGCTCAGCACTGTGTTCATTTACATATTTATTTAATTAAATCGCAGCCTGCACGATCTCACTAATGCATATTGCAATTTCAATATCATGCAGCCTTAGTTATGAATCTGAACAGAACCATGTGACCATGATCATAAAACACTTATTGCCTGAACGCTGGGGCTCTCCGATACCAGCCCGAGTTCAAGACTCTTACCGTTTGGGAAGGCAAGAACACTGATGATCAAGAAAAACGAGATGACCAGGATGAGACCCACCCACAGGTTATTGTCATGGTTTCCATCATCTCTGCAACGGAAACATGTGGTCAGACTCATACACTCAAATACACCAGCACAAACAGACGATCTTCCTCTTTCTATTTCACAATCGACCATACACACCAAAAAAAAAACCAGTAGATGCACGCACACATCACATAAATGAATGTCGTTTTATTGAAAATTTCAAAACAAAAGCATGAATAATTTATTTTCCAGAACTGAAAATAAGGAGAACTACCGCTTCTGCTTTCAAAAGATATTTTCCATATATTATGCCTGTGCTCAGGTGCAAAAATTACTTAAATGTCATGATGAAATAAAACGTCGCGACAGATCTTTTCTTCCATATTGTGGCATACATCCATGTATAATATCAGAAAAGGAAACGCAAGGTGGGGACTTGGTTCTATTATATTTGGAATAAAAAATAAAAATGCACAGAGCAATTGTTTAGATTAAGGACCAGTAATATGCATTAAGACAGTACAAAGGCCAAAAGCTGCCATTGTAACTTGAAGTCACAATCATAAAATTAAAATTGACAATTCTTTTTTTTTTTTTAAGGAATATTGCAGTATTTATTATGAATAATTAATCTGTACACATTATTACTGTTTTTTATTTATTCATGTGCCTTGTCAATGTCAGCTTTATTCAGAATAGTCTCCCCTCCCTCTTGCAGCTCATCTCGTCTCTGATGATGTGTTTTCTGGCGCGAGGGCGGGGCGACCTGTCACTCACATGAGATCAACCAATAGCAAACCACAACCATCCAATAATTCTTTCTGATGGACATAACCACCCTACATTTTTTCTTGTTTCAGAAGCAGTTTCATTTACATATATGTCACAATAGGGTAAAAAAGACTATTGCAACTTCTTTTTCATGCCGACCTTAAATATCCGATGAATATATTATAATATGAATAACCAATAGTCTCCTGTTTACATCACAGACATGAACCATGATTTGCTACTTGCTTACTTCTAGAAAATGGTGGTATCAGGAGGGGGGGACATTGTCTTTCTAGAAAGCATTTTATCGAACAAAAAAAATTCCCCGAGTGCATGATGACGTCATCAATATTTGTGTCCGTTTTCCCGGAAGTGATATTCGCACTTCGATAGAAGATCGTTTTTGTCGACTTTAGAAATATACACGCATATAGGTGACCTCAAAACAACAGACATGCACTAAAAGCCACAAAAGACAGATTTCGAATTGAAATGGCGTGCTGCTATAGTAACATGCCGTTACTGCAACTCTTTGTGGCTTTAGGGTTGTGCGTCACTCACCGCGTAAACGCGAAGTACATCAGGCTGAGCACGGTGCATGTCAGCAGGGTGATAGTGTGTGGTTTGTAGAAGAACTCGATGGTGATGTCCTCCACCTGCTGTTCGTTGATCATGCGGAAATGCATTCTGTAATTCACATCATGTTTACTGAGAGTCCGAGAGCCGAACGTTGAAGCCATGCACGTGAGATCAGCAGATTGGCGTGTTTCCTCTATGTCCCGGATTCACCTTTGATTACCGTGATGTTGTTAGCAGCGCTCTCTCTCTCTCTCTCCCCCTCTCTCTCTCTCTCTCTCTGGCGTCTGCTGCACGAATGACGGCCATGCATGTGTGCTTTCCGGATCTGCACACGGCAAATGCATGAACACTATCAGCTGCTCAGCCTCAGAGAGAGCGATGCATGTACGAAGCAGAAAGATGGCAGACACTTTGGATGAAAACAGAAAATTCCGTGTATTTTCATTGGTGTGCATGCAGCGCCAGGCGCAGAGTCGCTATGGCAAGCCACATGGGCCAAAAATGCAGCGCTGTTCGAGTTTCTCACGCGCTCAAGGTCACTCTGCTCTGTTGAATAACACACCTGTGTGTGTGTATTGCAATTACACGCCAACATTGGAATAAGTATATTATATATACATATTAAGTACAAGCCAATATTATAAGTCATATACAGTGGAGAATATAAATAATTAAAGGTTAAGTTTAGGTTTTACAACAAACAAAAAAACTATTTTTACACACAGCTCTAAAAAAATAGTTTGGGTCAAATATTGACCAACCCAACTGTTGGGCTTAAAATTTGTATTTAAAAATGTGGAGAAAAAAAGGTTAGGTTTGTCCATATTTGACTCAAACATTGAAACAACCCAGCGTTTTAGAGTGCATTAAAAACAGCACTTGTTTTGAAAAATATAATTAAACTGATTTATTTGATCTTTCTGTCAAATATTTGGTTTGTAAGTGTGTTTGTAAACTTTCTTTACAATAATTGATATTTGTATGTAATCAGTGTTGGGTGTAATGCATTACTAAGTCATTTAATTACTTCTCCCTTGAAAAGGTAAAGTAAGAGTTAACAGGTGTATAATAAAAGTTGTGAAATAATTGACTAATATTAACTCTACTTTAGTGCTGCACAGATATTGCACAACGCCAAGATAACCAAGATAACCAACCTTTATGTTCTGATGTGATCTGTCAGCGCTCAAACACCGCTCATTAATGTCAAAATGTTTGAGATCATGATGACTAATCAAATCAAAGTAGGTGGGCTTTATGTAGACAGAAGCTGCTGAGTGTTACCCTGGTGTTACCCCGGTAAACCCGTAAGCAAAGCAGCAGCGAAACTTTCTGTTTCTGAACAGCAAATACTTCAAACAGCCATCCAGATTTTTTTATTCTCTTTGGTGTTCAGGCTACTTAACTTAATAGACTAATAACTTATTTTTAAACAGTTGTTTACACTTAGGCCTAAACATTTTTACATTCTGGACTAAACCATACCCTCGATAATGTCCTGAATCTTGATTATTGTTCGGTAACATTTACAATAAGGTTCCATTTGTTCATATTAGTTAACATGAACAATAGGCCTACTTGAACTTGTTAATAGTTGATGTTAATTTCAACATAAACTAATGCTTTATTAAAATCAAAAGTTGTAGGCTATCTGTTAATATTATTTAATAGACCTGAGCTAATATGAACTAACAATTAACAATTGCATTTTATAATGTTAACAAAGAATAACTATTGTAAAAAAAAAGAAATTTATATATAGGTATATTGCACATTGTTAATGTGTTAATGGTCAGTTCAGGGGTGATTTGTGTAATTTTAATTTATTTGAAAGTATTAAAAGAGCAGTTTCATGTCTGTCCTGTTTGAGGTTGAAATGGGATTTAGAAAGTACCGGTAATTAGTAATAAGTAATGCAATACTTTTAGAGAAAATAGTACAGTAATGTAATTACACTGTTGAAGATGTAATAAGTTAGTAATTAATGACTTTTTTAGAGTAACTTACCCAACACTGTAAAGCAGTGGCATTCAGACATTAGCGTGACAGAAGTGTCCAAATGTTTGTTGAGGTCATTGTAGCTGTTTATGTTGGATCGTGGTGAGATGTTTTTTTAGGCTCGAGTTATATTTACGGTAGAATAAAATTCTGCAAACCACTAGACATATGAAGTATGTTACGTAGGTGTGATCGAGCAGGCCTGATGCACATTGTTGGTTTTTTTTATTGATTTTTGAGGATTATTTTGTTGCATTAGAGTCTGTTGTGGTTGTTTTTCATATTTTAACGCCCCCTGAACTTCACACATCTTCATGGTCAACGGCAGGAACTGTGGTTTTGACTAAAGAACTCACAAACGCAAGCTCACAAAAGTCAAAGCAGCAAATATCTTTCACACTTCAGTGATCTTCTAATGAAACCCTATACTTTCTTGTACTGTTAGTATGATTAAAACAACAAAAATAATACTTTTTTTGCAAATAAAACTAAATTATCATAATTTCTTAAATACATTTGAATTAATATAAATAAAAAATGTATACAAAGAAATTAAACATTTAATACAATGTGTGTGTGTGTGGCACACAGTAGCTTTGTATTTTGTACAAATAGAGTAGCTTTGATTATCCATTATTGCAGAAAGCACAAACTGATGACAAGAAATTCAAAAACAGTACTTTAATAGTGAGCAAATATAAAACGAATCAAGCGTATCGTGGCACATTTACATTAATGCATTTAATAGGCAAAAACTTTGATCCAAAGCGATTTACATTGCATTCAATATAAACATTTGCTTTATTCACACGCTCACTGCGAATCAAATGGGCAACTCTACCAGCTAAAATGGGCATAAGGGCATCGATATACACAGTCAGATGCAATTAAAGAAATACAGAGAAATCCACGCCTCAAAGTGTTTCGATCTCGCTGTCCAATCAAACGTCTTGCTTGATAGTGATCATGGGCTGTATTGAAATGAAGAAAAATAAAAGAGTTTTCAAAGTGTTTGATAGTTCAGCATGTTTTGTTGATTTCAAACTGAAAACTTACCAGTGTGTTGAAATGAGATCTGCATATGGCTTTACTCTCCCAGTAGATCAGAACCAGAGCCAGAATCAACTCCAACCCACACAACACGCCGATCACCACCTTCAGCCCTACAAACATACGGGTCTGGCGGAAACCAATGATAATAAGTGAATAAATGGATGTGCACATGATTATTAACATCAGCTCGTAAGTGCAGGTTTGCTATGACCACATAACGGTACCTTTGAAATGTCATCTGTGCTGCTGTTAAATGTATTCTGTAAAAAATAAAGTAAATCAATGAGATATATGCACAGCGCTCCAATTCTGGCTTCTGTAAGATATACAGTATATGTGTGAAGAATGACAAATGACCCGTAGGCCTACCCCTCTGTCATTTAGCAGCGAGCAGAGAACTATAGCTGCGATGGACCAGAAAAGGCTGATAATGTTGAATACGAAGGACAGTTTCACCTTTCAGAACAAGAAGATAAAATGATTCAATTCAGTTTCCATCATGAGAAAAAAAAAAATTCTGTATAATATTTGTCCCGTGATCACTTACCACGGGCATGAACGGAGACTTCCCAGCTGCAAATGTCAGAATGCCACTAGCAATGAACTAAATAACAGAGACAGTGTGAGATGTATGTCATGAATAAAAACGTACACATCAAAAATGAGCTGTGGTAAATAGAAACAGGATCGCTATGTTCTCACCAGGGCACTAGGTAGGGTGTACACTAAATGAGACAAACTGTAATCAAAAGCAATGAGGAAGCCGATGCAAATGACAAACGCTCCGATGCTGAGCTGAGCCGCCTGAAACATCAACAACATTCATACAGTCATAATTCTCATAATATAGTCAAGAAGTTAATACTTTAAGAAGATCACTTTGAACAGGAACATTTTCCAAATGTAAAACTAAGGGGGTAAAACTTTAGTTTGGGGTCCAATTCTCACTACTAACTAGTTGTGTATTCGCATTAGGATATTAGCTGTTTATTATACTTATAAACCACATATTAATGGCTTATTCTGCATGACATTCTACATCCCTTAATCCTATCCAATACCTACTTTACTAACTATGAATAAGCAATAATTAGGAGTTTATTGAGGCAAACCTTATAGTTAATAGTGAGAAATGGATCCTAAACTAAAGTGTGACCAAACTAAATATTTATAGATATTTTAGATTGTGATTAATGAAATGTAAGTAAATGAGTCATTGATCATGTGACTCTTTGTACAGATGGTCTGATATCCTCAAATCATAAACATAATCATCAGGTTTTTGTCCAGCAAATGAGAAACACACCAAATACTGAGATGTTATGAAAAAAAAAATTAAATTGAAATGGAAAGAAGCATTTTCACCGGTGTTCTTAGACTTTTGGTCCCTGTGTGTATAATAGTATAAAAAGAAATATTATATAATAGGCCTATATGTTTTTGCATGTAGTGGATAGGAAACCTTAGTCAGGTAAAATGATGACATATAAATGCTAATCTGTTGAAACCAGGGTCACAAATCAACCAGCAATCAGGTTAAAAATACCACTGAAACTGACGAAACGTCCCAGATATAGCAGCAAAAACATGAGCAGCAAAAAAAATGATTTTCTGTTATGCATCATCTGATGTTTTTCGAGTGTTTCTGCAACTAAAACGAAACTAAAATCAACTCACAACTTTGACTACATCAAAAACCACAGTGATGGTAGACAGTAGAGAGTTTATATGTTTAGAAAAATGCACAAATAAAAAAAATTCTGGGACAAAAATATGAGCCCCTTATTAAAATAAATGAATATATGACATTTGTATTTGACATTATTGTGCATTTAAATCTTGGTACGCACCCCGAGTTCCTTTGGTCGTCCTTTCAGAAAAACCTTGTAAGTGTCTTTGAAGATGCAGGTGAATTTCTCGGGCATCAGCTGCCCCTCTCTCATGTTCCTGACGCTTCCCAGAGGGATGCTGATGACCATGCAGTCATCCGGCTTAAACGTGTACCGCATTTGTCTGTCATTTGAAAAGAATATTGTTATCTGACATAATGGATCAAAAATGAATGTGCCAACTCAAATGAGGACAGAAGGAGAGACTGTAGTCGGCTGGCAGAAGCAGAACGACTAATAACCCTCTGGTGCTGGTCGGCCATGTTTGACAGAAAAGAAAATATTTTTTATAAAATGAGTACCATTAAATCCCCTAAAAAAAAAATTTAAATAAAAGATATGATCAAACTTAAATATAGTACAATCATTTCATTGAAATGGGGAAAAAAGCACCAGAGGTTTAAACAGCAAAACATGGTTTTATTACTCACTATTGTTGTGGAAATCTCACAGACTTTTTTGAAATGCCTCCTTCAGTATGTGCCTTTCTGTGAGGTAAGATATACAGCATATGTAAGGCTTTTAAGGTTTCCAGGTACTTAGTTACAAATTCCTGGCTTACATAATGCCCAGGATACTTCACAAATTAATTTTATATGTAGCCTATTTCTGTCTTGTTTTCGAGTAAAAATATCTAACATTCTTAAATCAAGATCCATTTACTTGAGAAGCAAAATGACATCAGATATTAAGTCGTGTTTACTGAACAAATTATCAAAATGAAGTAAATTTATGCTTTAAACAACAAATATCAGCTAATGGTGTCAGAAAAATCAGCTTAATTCAAAAGGAAAACACCATTGGCAGATATATATTTTTGTATTTTTGATTCTCAAGTCAATCTTGATTTAGGAATGTTTAGATATTTGTACTGGAGAACTGAGGAAAAAAATCATGTTTTTTTTACAGTGTAATAAAAGAGTTAAATAGAATCATATATCATAAATTAATTAAAATAGTCAGAACAGACACAAATGTACGTTGGTGGTGTTAGTTTGGATAAAAATAAACAGTTGATTCTCACTTAAAACGCCACACATAATTTTAGCCATAAATTAACTAAAGTTTAGGAATAGACTAGGCCTATATCCAATAAAAAACTATAAAAAGTGTCTCAAATGACCCGCACACACACAGTTTAGAAAATGCCCACAGTGAAACCGTTTCACGTATTCACAGGAACTCTGAGGTGAATATGCAACTTTATAGCTAATAAAAACAGAGATTGAGTTATCGTTAGGTCTAATAAAGCACAGCGCATCAACAACGTAGTAAAAAGTGGTCATCTGCAATTGTTACGTATTTCTACCTGATCTTACCCTTATGTAGTTTTGTAGGTGTAACCTAATATATTTAGGTTGATTCAGTCATGTTAAATTATTATTTCTTTAAATAAAATTCATAAATGTAGAAGTAACCACATGAATCACATGTTTAGGTTATAATTTTCTCAGGGTAGGCCTGCTGACGTCTCTTGACTCTCGCTATAAGAGGGGTTTGTGTTTCAGGTAAAGAGTGGTAAATAAATGGTCTTACCGGCTGAAGAATAAAGTGTGTGAAGTCTTGATGAAGTTTCTGCTCAGATAGCAGAAGTTTCTTTGAGAAATGCAGCTCACATCATCAGTTCTCACACCACAGTTCCTTTTTTTTTTTTTTTTTGGACCAACCACATGAAAGTAGCTCGATGTGTATCAAGAAAAAAAACACTAAAGTGACACACGATGATCTTTACTAGACTTTAATACGGAAGACAGACTCGGCTCGGTAAGATGAACTCACGAAGCTTTAATTGCATTTATGTATTTTTATATAGCTTAATGAAGATGTATATGATTAAATTTACAAAACTGAACATTTAAATGACTGTGGTAAGGATTCATATTAGAACATTAGCGTGAATGAATATTAATGAGGGTTTCATGCATCTTTAAAAACAGTAACTTATAGTACATTCTATTCAACTCATATTTGTTGTATTTGCTTTCGCCCAACGTTTATTTGGGTTACCTCATATTTCTGCTTGTTGATTTGAGTGTGTTTGTCTTCATGCAGCGGTTGAGAACATGGCTAAAGCAGATATCGCGATGGAGATTCAGAGGCATGAGGACCCAGCAGGAGGAAGACGAGATGATGAAGGGCCGCTCGTCAAGTATTACCGCGCCAGTGAACTTCTGCCAGGCACAGTGCCAGTCCTGCACGGGCTCCTGAGGAAGGGCCCCTCCGCCTGCGCGGTAACCCAGAACACCCTGAGCTTTTACAGCATTCACTGACCTTAGTTGAGCTCCGGGGAAATTACCAGAGGAAAAGAGCCTGCTAAACAGGACCGTTTTATGCAATCATTTAAGACATTTCTCCATATAGATAACCTTTTTGGCACGAACCCTCGAGTTCTATATAAAATGGACCACTTTTTTCTAAGAGTGTGTTCTAGTTGGCTAATAAAATTAATTAATCAATGAATAAAGTGAAAAGCTGAATGCCCATGCTGAGTTTAGCCTGTAAATTTAGCTTTATAGTCATACATGTTTGATGCAAGAATTTGTCAACATAAAAAATGTGAATGTAAAGGATATTTTTTTCTGTTGTCCTGCTGTAGGCCGTGCAAATATCCAGTGGGATCCTGAGTTTGGGAATAGGGGTGGTGTTTGCAGCATCATTCGTTATCAATAATAATCTACTGACCTTATTCCGAGTGCCAATCATTACTGGAATAATGGTGAGCTTCGTTTTCTTCTGTAGTATTATGAAAACGTTTCATTGTGCAGCACGTGCAGGAATGTTGCATTTTAGATTTTGACATGCATTTCGTACAAATAATCTGTTTATTCATCAATAATGTTAATCATTTGAAAAAAAAAAAAAAAAAATGCTGTTTACTTTTGTCTTCCAGTTTGTCGTGGCTGGGATCTTGTCTAATCTTCTGTACAAAAGCCCCGGGCTTCTACAGGTTAGTGTGTGCATTTAACAAACACTGTCTTTGGAAAGTTCAAGCGTTGATCAAGAGTTTTATTTCGAACAGACTTGCTTCATCGCCAACATCTCGTGTCTGGTGGTGTCTGGGGTCGGAGTGATTCTTCTAGCTGTTGACCTTCATCCAAGTCAAGATCAAATCCACTACAAGGTAGATTGAATCATTCTAAACTATTCTTGCGCCGTTGTTGTTACAAACATTTGTGCATCTTGTTTTATTAAATGCATAAAACATGTTTTCAAATTTGATAGCAATACTATACTGTCAACATTTTTGATAATTTACAGTTTATGTGCCAAACAAAGACTGAAGACTCAGAATCAAAAGGGGGAAAATATATATAAATCAAACTGATAAATAAAATAGTTTTAAAATGTATTAAAAATAAATAAAAGTTATATTATAAAATAAAAAATTTAGCAAAAAGAAAATCAAGCCTATTGTAAGGATCATTAGGATTCTTTGCATTTTGATATTGTTTTCATGACAATAATGCACATAAAAATGACTGCAATATAATGGGTTGTTTTATTTAATTAAGCATAACCTGCTGGTAGTATAACAAATAAATATGAAAATCTTATGCAAAATATAGCTTCTTATTTTGAGGTCAAATATGGCCTGAACATGTTCTTCACAGGTCTCGTAAAATTGTCCCTGTAGGATTGAAAAGCATTTATTGATCCAGGTTGACATTTGTGTCGGTTTATTGTTGTCAGATGTCATCGGTGTGTGTGTTTGCGTCCTGCAGATGGAGGTGCTGGTGCTGTGTGTGACTCTGATGGACATGCTCATCGCTGCAGTGCTAATATACTGGTTTTACAGAGAGAAACGGGACCATAAGAAGTAACACCTCATTCAAACATCTGTGTTTGCAGTCTTCAGCTCTGTGCCGTTTGAGCTCATCTTTTCTCGGAAGGTTTAGCAACAATAATAGAATTAAAGAACTAAAAAAAGAAGAAGCGGTAGCAACTAAACTCTCCTTATTCGTGATGCAATTCCTGAAATACAGTCGTGGGAAGTCTCTGACCGAAGAGAAGGAGTGGTAAAGCCGCAACAGTGACGAACACATGTGGCTGATTTGACTTTTAATGGGACTTGTTAGTAAATTCCAGTAAAATACAACAGTTCTTGTTTTTTTTGTAGCAAGAATGAAGAACTAAAGCACGGACTCTGCTTCTGACCCTCATAACAGCTGCTTGTAGCTTTATTTGTTTATTGTGTTTGAGCATTTTATTACCTGTAAAGCTGGATATTATTTCTCTGTACATATTTTCACATTTATACACTGAATTAATGTATTTTCTGTATCTGTTACATATGAATTTGAGTTAATAAAACACCATCTTAATAAATTACAGAATTCAATACAGCTTTTTTTTTTTTTACCGTTTTATTTCTTTATTTTCAAAGTAAAAAGATGGACTGAGTCCTTAATAAAAATGCAATCCTCAATGGATTTTATTAGTAGTGCCAGTACTCTACTATTTAAAGACACTTTGTACAGATCAGTCAAATGTGGAGTGGTGAATCTGCGGCTCGTAGCAAGTTTCTGTTGTGCCGAAGAAATCATGTTTCTTAAAGTGGAAAACGTAAAAATGAAAAGGCTTGAAATAATTTACATCCGTGATCTGGTCGCCCGGTCCAATAACGTACCAGCACTGGTGAGGCTCGGGACGATTATCAGAAGTTATGAAATGTCTCTTCTCGTCCTCCACGCCGTCCAACATACAGTCCAACGGCTGTTTTCCCATCACTCCGTCTCAGTGGATTCACAGCTTGAAAAACAAAAGAAAACAAGTTATTAGAAACGCCTGACGTGCAAGTCGCTACTAAGAGTTTGGTCTGTATTAGCAGCGTTCACACTCACAGCGATCATGGGAACTGTTGGTTGCAATGATATATCATATATTCAATATCAAAATATGGCTTATTCAGGCCTGGGACCAGCTTTAAGATGCAAGATGGGTCAAGTGTTTTTATTTTAGTGTTTATATTCAAATTTATATTTTCTCCTGATAACACATTTTTTGTGACAATTTTGTAATTTCAGATTTAACAATAAGGGCAGGTTTTGACAGGGACTATATTAGTAACACTGCTATACTATTTCCAGAAGCATAAATTACTACATTTCTATTTAGTTTCTTGCTCATTTTGTGAAATAATGTCACAAATGCAATTATGCATGTTTCTTTAATGCTTCAAAATGAATCCCACATGTCTATTATTAACATTATAAATGTATGAATAATTATATTCTTTTATCTGCTTTGGGCAGAGATTAAAACGAACAGATTGTTTTTGCTGAAAGAAATATATATTTTTTAAAAAATTTAACAAACTTTTTATTTTTAGTGTAACAATTGAAATATTTTTTTCTTTTAAAATAATTGATATATTTTTTATATCTGAATTAATTTAAATGATAAAATATTGATTGCAATATATATATATATATATATATATATTTGTATTTAATAATAGATTATTTTATAGTCATTTTTAATTGGTCTAAAACTGTGGGAATGTGGCCTATGAAAACTCATGTGAAAAGAGATTTTTATTTTTTTTATTCTGATTTTAAAATTTAATTTAATTTAATTTTAATTATTTTTTTAATTCTGATCACTTTATGGTTACTGATAGAGGTTTGGTTAGCAAAAAGTAATTTTTCAGCTTTTTGAAATAATTTGTATTTTCTATGCAGAGGACAACAACTCCCCAACAAAATCACCTCATTCATTCGAGAATGATTAAAAATTAATGTATTTTCCAAATCACAGCATTACACAAAATATCATTTTTTAATGTCATTGTTTTACAAAACCGTGCAGCCGTAGTTTCTGCTCAGTGACAAATTCCAGCTGTATTTGGAAAGTCACTTGACGGCATCATCAAAAACCGTTCTCATGCGCCACATATCGCAAACTGTTATTGAAAATCAATGATTTCCTGCTGCTTTGATGCTGTCAGTGTGAACGCACATTTGTTCAAATGCGTGAAAGAGAATCTTGCAGCATGATCGACATAAGCTGCACAATTTCACAGTTATTGACCCGTGTATTTAACAATTCAATTATTTTGTCCTTCTTCCCCAAAAGAGATATTTGTGCATTATTTAGACACAATAAAATCCGTGACACAAATAGGACTCGACACCACAGAATCTTACACATGCATTACAGTGCATGTGCATCGCAGGGGAACAAACAGTTATGTTCAACATAAGGTGTATGCAGACGTTCTGTCGATCACCATAGACAATAACGTCAAAGCAAAACCACAAGGTCCTCCAAAACAGTAGTTTCGACTGAACAAACATTAAAAGTGCTTAATAAAAATGCACGCCTCAGATTTCTGCATTACTGTAAACGTGTTTGAACACACCGAGCAATGACGTTATTGTCTGTGGTAGCTGTACATGCACATTAAGTTCAAAATAACCTAGAACAACCCTTGAAGCCCAGCACACACATGCAGCCCAACACACTGACATCAAGCAAAGGGATTCTCGGATGGGAATCAGCGCCAGCCTCATGCGTTAATGGGGAACAGGCATCAGGAATCACACAGGTGACTTTAGACTAGTTACTTACTGATCTAAACCGTTTGATTCAGACCAGAGTCGAGAGGCCTAACGGGCAATGAGAAGTCTTGCTCTGCTAAAACAAACATGTCAGATACAATTAGATGAACTAATTTCAAACTTTGCTGGAATCTCTGAGCATGAGGAATAGTAATAGCGATGCTTGACACCAGTAAAGGAGGATCTTTTACGTTATTGTAGCTCATCTAAAACTTTAATAATACAATTTTTTTTGTCTTGTTAATATATTAATATCAGGTGCAACATTGTGTGGTAGTTTGGAAATGTAAGTACAGTAGATGTCATTTGAATCAGTGAATGTCAACACTTACTTATTATTATAATTATTATTTGTATATAATTTAACAGCATGTCAGCATCAAAAGCTATATTCATGGCAAACTCAAGAGTAATAAAATAAAATTCTAAAATATTTCAGTTAATTTTACAATATTATGTCTACAAACAAACAAAAGAAAAACAATAAGTATAAAGTATAAAAAAATAGTATTACTGAATTATTATTTCTCTGTACAATGACCTTGAGCTTGGGACAGGCACTTTACAAATAAAACATTATTAGTATACCAATAACAGATTTATAAAATATTCCAATTTGATAAGAATTCTAATATTTTCCCTTTAAATAAAAATCAAATAAAAATGTTGACTAATATAAATGAAAGCAGGAAATTCAACAAAATACTTTATGCTTTACAGTCAAGGAAGACTTAGAAAAATCACCTTAAGGCAATACTTTCCCTTTTAATAAATATACATGGGTAAGTCTTGAGGCCGATTTGACATTTTGTAAATAAAGTCTGTTCATTTCCATTCTCAAAATGAGAATTTCATTAACTAGATTCACTTCATACACCACTTTGCCATCCACAAATACACACATTGAGCATGGCTTCACGTCCACTCTTACCGCTGTGATGAAGCCGCTGCTCTGAGTGTCTGTGCGGTAGAGGATGGAGGATGTGAGTTTGGGTGGAGACGGGGACGGGGACGGTGTGTGAGAGGACAGATAGGAGCCTCCATCACTGGTGTAACTCTCCATCACTGAAGCGGGCTGACGCTGGACAGTGATGCTGTCACTGGAGGTGCACTGGGACGAGCTCTCGGCACTATCACTGACTACACACGGACAACACACAGTTAGCATCCACCGTATATATACACTTTCATTCAGCATTCATGCATTTAATTGGTCAAAAGTGACAGTGAAGACATTTATGATGTTTCGAAAGATTCGATTTCAAATAAATGCTGTTCTTTTGATCATACTATTCATTAAAGAATCTTAAAGAAATGTATCACGGTTTCCACAAAAATATGAAGCAGCACAACCGTTTTCAACATTGATAATAATCAGAAATGTTCATTGATCAGCAAATGATTTCTGAAGGATCATGTGACACTGAAGACTGGAGTAATGATGCTGAAAATTCAGCTTTGATCACAGGAATAAACTACATTTTTAAATACATTACAATAGAAAACATTTATTTTGAATTGTAACAATCTTTCACTATATTACTGTTTTTACTTGATAAAAATAAATGCAGCCTTTTAAACGATAGAGTATAATAATTATTTATGTATAGAATGTATTTATGTATATAACAATATTATAATATAATTTAATACATAGTATATATTACAGTATATATATTATTATACATTATATATATATATATTATTATTAATTTTATATTGTTATATATAATATATAATTTTATATTATATTATTAATTTTACTTGAAAACAAATGCCACTTGCTGTATTATTTCTTTATCTATATACATATATATATATATATATATATATATATATATTAGTGCTGTCAAACGATTAAAATATTTAATCGCGATTAATCGCATTAATGTCATAGTTAACTATTAATCGCAATTAATCGCACATTTTTATCTATTCTAAATGTCTCGATTTCTTTTTGTCCCATTATTTTTTCTCATTTTAATGCTCTTATCAACATGGAAAAGTGGATCGGCTTGCTTTGTGCAAATGTTTTTTTATTGAAAACAACATTGGCATATACCGTGTTCAATTTCACACTAACATTCTCACTTGGAGCAAATAATCTCTCACACAAAAGCTGTGTCCCAATGTGAAGGCTGCGTCCTCCGAAGGCCTTTGAAGGCCGATTGCGTCACAGCGGCGTGACGAAGGCTGTCCCAATTCAAAGGCTGCCTCTTCGAAGGACGCATTTGAAGGCCGATTGCGTCACAGCGGCGCGATGAAGGCTGTCCCAATTCAATTCCGCATCCTTCGAAGGCCATCTTCGAAGGCCGGTTGCGTCATCACGGCGTGACGAAGGCTACCCTGATTCAAAAGCGACGCCAAATGCACCCTTCGTTTCCCCGTGAAAGGAAGTATTCATAAATGGACACTTAGCGGCCTATCCTACCTTGATCCTACCCCATAATTCATTGCGCGCCGGTGACGACAGCATTTTTGGTGCAG